TTACTTCTTGCTTTACTATAGATTTATTTCTATATTTACAATAGATTTCTATATTTGCTACTGTATAAGTATAGCAAAGAATCCTTATTGTCAAAAACAAGGTACATATCAATGTTTTAGAAAAGAGAGAGCAAAAAGTTCAATGGATTTAATCATATATCCATCCAAGTTACTTAAGATCAACCAACTCATATAGGTAGAATGAGGAGCAATCTATACTATTTAACAGGGACAGGGGATGGCCATTGTGCTTTTTTTCCCATCTTCTATGTAGTCCATCCTAAAACAGTATATTGAAATAGTGTGTGAATAATTTTAAGGGTTTTACTGACCATATATAAAGAAGAGTTATGCATGATTCAGGAGGTTAGACAAATGAACCATAGTGGCTTTATTAACAATTGTTCAGGATAATTTGAGAGAAACATACACATTGAAGGATCTTTTGTATCTGTGGCCCTCAACCATTTAATGCCACTATTTTCTGAATTATCAACCGAAGAACTAACTGCTCCTTTACATCTTCGAGCATAATTTGGTGGACATGTTTAGAAGCATATTACCTTTGGTGGTGAATATTAGGGACAAGTAATGAAAGAAATGATATCACTGAAACCTCCTCTTGTAAACTAATGTATGCTAATACAAATAATAAAATTAAAAAGAAATATTGCGTCATCAAGAATTCTGAGGAATTAGAGGAAAGGAGAACATGGTCTTTAGTTGATTGCACACAAATGTGTACATTGCATCTGAATAACGAATTTAAGGAAATTTTCAAGAACTGTTTTAGCCAAAAGCAAGAGAGAGAAGCAGGTAAAATGATTACATTTAAGGAAGTGCCATTGTGGCTCAAAGAGGTAGAGCTTAGGCCTTGAGCAAAAAGACAGCACTCAGGCTTTGAGTTCAAGCCCCACAACTGACAAAAAAAAAGGTTACATTTAAGTTCTGTCTGGAATTTAAGTTGGGCTCTCAGTTGTCTAAGTAGACATGTACTTGAGGGACGCATCAATTTCAGTGCTTCAGTGCTGGCCTAGAACTTGCTCTTGCCCTGTCCCCCAGCCCCAGACTGCTGCTTCTTCTTCCTTCCCCCAAAAAGGAGAGGGGAAACACCATTAAGAGAGGTGATGAACCCTGAGTTAAGAAAATGGGACATGACTAATTTAAGGATTCTGGTTTGATATAATGTATTTCTGTATTAAATAATCCAGATAAATTTAACATAAAGAACTGTATTAAGACTGTTATACCTGAAAAGTCATACAAGCTTCCCTTTAGAAAGAACTTGTTGAGACATCTTTCATTAGAAAGGTTTTAGGATCAGCCAGGTGCTGGTGGTTCATGCCTGTAATCCTAGCTACTCAGAAGGCTGAGATCTGAGGATTGTGGTTTGAAGCTCATCTGGGCAGTAAAGTCCTTGAGACTCATATCTGCAATTAACCACCAGAAAACTGGAAGTGGCAATGTAGTTCAAAGTGGTAGAGGCATGCAAAAGAGCTCAGGGAAAAGAGCTTATTAGCACCGGAGCCTGGAGTTTAAGCCCTACAATGGAGCGAGAAAGGGAAGAAGGGAAGGAGGGAGGAGAGAGGGGAAAGGGAGGGAGAGAGGAGAGAGAGAGAGGAGAGGGAGGGAAGGAGGAGAAAGGAGAGAGAGATAAGGAAGGAAGGAAGGAGAAGAAAAAAGAAAAGAAAAGGAAAAAGGTTTTAGGGAGCTGGACATGCTGGTACTTACCTGTACTTACAGCACTTGGAAGGCAAAGGCAGGAAGTTTGTGAGTTTGAGATCAGCTTGGATTGTATAAGAAACCCAAAGCCGAGAGGTGCTGTCCCAAAAATCAAAACAAAAATGTTTTGACCATTGTCATGTCATATCAGTTATTGTTGAGCACTTCAATGATAGCCTGGACTTCATCCAATTCTGGTCACTATGCTTTACAGATGATGTAGATAAGCCTAGGAGCTTATAGAGGGTGGCCAAAACTATCAAAAACAAGGAAAACATCAGCCCTAAAATTGGTTTCGGCACTTTTCTAGAGCCCAGCCCAAATTAAAAGTTTTCAATAGCAGTACTATAAAAGACCACAAGATGGTGACAGAACTCTAAAATACCTTTTTAAAAAAAACATTTAGAAGAGATTAGAGATAGACGCTTGATGAAAAGGAGAAAAAGAAAGTTCAAGAGGGTATTTCATGCTCATGCCTATAATCCTAGCTACTCAGGAGGCTGAGATTAAGGATGTCAGTTCAAAGCCAGCCTGGGCAGGAAAGGTTATGAGACTCTTATCTCCAATAAACCACTCAGAAATCCAGAAGTGGTGCTGTGGCTCAAGTAGTAGAGCATCAGCCTTGAGCTGAAGAGCTCAGGGACAGTGCTTACTAAAGAGTTTAGAGGATTTATGGAGAAATCCTAGCTACTCAGGAGGCTGAGACTGAGGATCTCAGTTCAAAGCCAATAAACAACCAGAAAACTGGAAGTGGCCCTGTGGCTCAAGTAGTAGAGCACCAACCTTGAAGAGCTCAGGGACAGCGCCCAGGCCCAGAGTTCAAGCCCCACAACCTACAAAAAAAAAAAAAAAAAAGTGGAACATCTTCAGTGTTTCACAACAGGTTGGTAGTGCATTTATACTACGAATGTTATTCAAGCAGCTAAAAGAGGGTCAATATGGTTTACTTTTTGAAATAGCAATAATCAGAAAATAGGCTAATGTGTACATAGGGGTAAAGAAAGTTTCCGGTTTCATGTGTTTGTATGTTTTATCCCATTCCAGACATGAAATGATGGGGGTGTGAGGGTATACAATAAAGACTCAAACATTAGATGCTTTTCAATAATCTAAGAATTCAAAATAGCATCCCAACTAGTAGAACTACTCACATCAGGCAGGCACACACAACAACAGTATGGGACTAGAGCCTTGGCTATCAGCTTACTGGCACTCATTGAAGGGCACCCATTGTTGCAGCAGTAAGGGAACCTACGCAGGAGAAGACTCTTGGAGCTAGAGGAGAGGCAGGAGTTTGAAGCTTGGAGTCTTGCAGCTTGGATTTGAGCTCTTCTGCTGAAGCTTTTAAAGTCCCTCCAAGCCAATTTAGGGGTTTGTTTACTAGCTTATCTAAGCCACTTTAAGGATCTGTTTAGCTTGATAGATTATCAAAGCCACCAAATAGCCACCTTGGTGTTGGCTCTTTAGCACGTCCAAGCCACACCTGAACACCTTAGCATTTGCTCATTAGCTATGTGTTAAGTCTTTACCATGGATCCTGAGGGAAGTCTACTGATTCTTTTGGAAGTCTGTGGGGTGAGGCCATCTGGTCCTTGAAGAAATGAGTGAAGTGTGTGATGGGTGGAAATCAGCAAGTCCTCTGGGCTTGTTGATTGAGAGTGTGTCCCACGTTTGCTGATAACCAATTTGCACTATACCCTTGACCTGCTTGTTGGCTGTGAGCATGTTATGTTTTCATGAGTATAAAATAAGGCATGAAAGAAAACTCATCATAATTTTACTTTTGGTTGTTTGGGGTTCAAGGAGAGCTTATTGGCCTTTTCTTTGTTGCTTTGGCTTGTTGCCATAAGCAGGAATTTTGGTTTGAAGTGAATACACTTTCTTTCCCTCCCTCCTTCCCCTCTTCCCCTTCTCCTATCCCCTCCCTTCCTTCCTTTCCCCCCTCCCTTCCTCCCTTCCCTCTTTTCCTCCCCTCCCTCTCTCCCTCCCTTCCTCCTTCCTTCCTCTCTTTCTCTTTCTCTCTTTCCAGCAATAGATAATCATCCCTCACTATATCTCCGTTCACTTACTGCTACTTAATGGATTTTCACTTATCCCACGGGTCTCTGGAAAGTAACAATCCCCATAGGTGAGGGATCACTATGTATTAAAACAAAACAAAACACCCTTCAATACAGTGAAGCTGCAATAAATTAACAGGGATATAGCAAGAGAACAACTGTAATCCTAGCTGTTCAGAAGGCTGAGATCTGAGGATCAATGTTCAAAGCCATTTGTGGCAAGAAAGTTACAAGACTCTATCTCCTGTTAAGCACCCCACAGAAATGCCAAAAGTGGAGCTGTGGCTTTAGTGGTTGAGGGCTAGACTTGAACACAAAAGCTCAGGAACAGCTTCAGGCCCTGAGTTAAAGCCCCAGGACTAGCACACTAGTAGTTTAGCTTTTCTTGCACTTATTTTAATGTGAATGTAGTTGGCATACATAAAACTGATGTAGGAGTCTCCAGCTGGGTGGTGTGAATTATATGAGATCTGGGAGGCAGGGACTGTGAGTTTAAGTGTAGTGCTATAATAGAGTCACTTTGAGAAAATAAAGCACTGACGAAAAAACATTTTTTCTTCATTAACCTTGCATGCCCAACAGTACTCTACCAATTGAAGTACATCCCCAGACCTGATTTTTCTGACATTCGGAGTGGCCATGATCTACATCACATCATTGCTATAGGGGTTGGAGTGTGGGAGTACAAAGCAAGTGTTTAAGGGCTCACCCTCACCCCGTACTGGGCCTGAGGTTTGAACTCAGGGTGTGGTCTAGGCGCTGTCCTGAGCTTTTTTTGTTGTTGTTGTTCAAGGCTAGCACTCTACCATTTGAGCCACAGTTAAAAACTGCTATGCTCAGATCTCAGCCTCTTCAGTATCAAAGATTACAGGCGTGAGCCACTCGTGCCCTGTAAGGCCTTTTAAAATAAAACAAAACCTTCTCTATACCAAACACTTTCACTGCCATGCAAGTATTGCTTATTTTGATGTTATTGAAGGGAATAGGATCAGGGAAGACTGAAGAGAGGTGATGATTTCGAGCCTGATTTGGCTGGGCCCAGCACAAGCTTGTGATTTGGTTTAGGTCTACTGCAGGCTACTGGGCCCGCTCCGGCACTCGGACGCCCCCTTCCGGAAGCAGGCTGCTTCAGCTCTTTTCCATGCCCCGGGCGAGCGCCGAGCCGACAGTACGCAGGCGCCGAGATCAGACGATGGCTCGCTGGGCTGGAGGGGCGCGCATGCGTATAGCTCTGTGTAGGCGGTAGCTTCTTCGGCACGCGACTGGAGACGAGTGCTAAAACTGTGGGGCGCGAATGAGATACCGCTGTTAGTCGGTAGGCATAGGTAGGACCGCTGCATTGTGGGGAGCAGAGGGCCGAAAAGCCGGGGCCCGAGGTGTGGGGGTCCCCAGCCGTTCCCGGGAGGTCCCGACTATTGTATTTGTGTCGCAGCGGCGGCGCACAAGATGGCGGCGGGCAGCGGGCGAGGGCGGGAGGAGCTGGGGACCCCCGCGGTGGGAAGGGTAGCGGGGCGGCCCGCTCTGCTGTTCTGGGCCGTGCCGCCGTGAGGGCTGGTCGGGGCGCTCGCGTCCGGAGCTGAGACCTCGGGTCGGGAGGAGCCTCTGACGCCGCTGCACCGGGCTGGGGAGAGAGAGGAGCCCCGGCACGGCAGCCCCTTCCCCACCGGCGCGGGGCCCGCGGAGGCTGCAGGGCCTGTCAGCCCCGGAAGGGGGGCTGGGAGGGAGCGGCCGGGCCCTCAGGCCCCGAGGGGCGGCGGAGTTGGGGCCCAGCCCTTTGGCCCGCGACGTGGTGTCCGAAGCCTGGAGAGAAGAGCTTGTTTGTGTTTGGGCCGGGGAGTTCGGGGTGAGAGAACGTTGTGGTTCTGCTGCCTGGCGGGCCCGAGTTCCCGTGCCTACCTGCTGCGGGTAGGGGAGCGGCGGGGAACGTCACCTCTGGCGTGGGGCGGCCTCGGACGCCGCGGTGAGAACTATTTCCACTTTTCTTAGCGGAGTCCCCAATGCGGAACCTCAGTAGTTTGTTTGTGTGATTCTCAGCTTGGGGCCGCGTCCTGAGAGATAACTCCTAGTGTATAAAACCGCGTACTCGATTCCTTGACATTTGAAACAGATCTTTTGTTGTTTTGAACTAGCCGCAGAGGGGGCTGCGGACCGTGGCTTACATTTTGACAGAATTCGTTAATTGAGCTAGACCGTGAGGAGGGCCTTAAAACTATTTTTCTTAATCTTAAAAATGTTCTCTTAGACGAAAATTGAGGGCTAGGAATGGGAGAAGAAATACTTGTAATGGGAAGGAGTTCTGAAAAAAAAAAAAAATCACACAACTTTTCCTTGGATCCACTGGCTCGTGTTGATTCAGATTCTTTTCCTAATCACTTTTTGGAGTTGTGTATCTGAAATTTCGCTTTTCATGTTACAAAGGGCTAAGTTATTTTTCGAGGATGTTGTGTGTACTGATTAAGATTCACATTTTAAAATAACCTGGAAAAGAATCCACACACACAAACATGAATTTTAGGAGTTTACATAGAAAAATAAACTTGTATAATCACGTTGCTTCAAAATTGCTTTAAGTAATTTTTAATTATTAGACATTCTAAACTTAACGAGCTTATGCCTTTTTATGCAAAATTTGACAGCCTTTCTCGTGTATTTCACATTCATGTTTTTGCGAACTCGTTTTGAAAATGTGTATCGCCTTATATATTGGTTGCATTTAAGTTTTACGTATTTGTGTTTTGTATGGGATGTGTACAGTACAGCAGTAGTGTCCTGAAGTTCTCGTCCGTCATCACTTTATGGCTTTTTAGTACTTTTAAGGTGATCTCTGAAAATTTTGTTTTTATGTGGTGAAGAAAATGAGACACAGATAATTTAGTGGAAAATAGAATAGGCTCTGGAATTAGATCTGGATTTGAATTCCTGTTTTCTTTGTACTATATTTGTGACACTTTGGGTAAGTTATTGTAGTCTTTCTGATCTTTTGTCTTGTTCTCTGTAAGGTATTGATAATACAACTTGCGTGAATTTTTTTTGTGAATATTGAAACTGTGGGAAGTTTCTGTTCACTGGCACATAGCAGGTTCTAAGCAATTTTTAGCTATTAATTCATTTTAAACTTCACATTGATTAGGTAGCATCTTCTCCTGAAAAAGTATGGCCTTGGATAGCTTAAAGCTGGGTGTTGATGGCTCACACTTAAATCCTAGCCACTCGGAAGGCTGAGAGCTGAAGATCACAGTTTGAAGCCAGCCTGGGCAGGAAAGTGACATGTAACTACCAAAAAACTGGAAATAGAGCTGTGGCTCAAGTGGTAGAGTGCTCGCCCTGAGCAGAAAAAGGTCAGGGACAGCACCCAGGTCCTGAGTTCAAGCTCCAAAACCAGAAGACATACACAGCCTAAAAGAAATGTACATTAGTAGAATTTTACAGGTTGAAAGATCATCTTTCTTTCATTATTTTTCTGCTTCTATAAACTTTATACTTTTTGCATTTATCAAATATAATACAGTATTTACATGGTTATGTTAGCCTTTAAATATAAGTGGTAGTGGTATACATTACTGATGAATTCAGTAAACAGTTCCTAAAGTCAGGTCTCTAAATTATGCTCTTTCTACTGTGCCTTAATGTATATAGATATTACTTGAACAAATCTGTTCAAATTTTTAACAGAATGCTTTACATACTAAGAAACAGTGCAGCCAGTATGTGTTCTCAGTAATACAGGTCTGTTTTTGCAAAGTAACCATACTAATAAATGTCATTTGGAGGTCCTCTGAATTGAAAGCATATTTGTCTCAAGTAATTAATTTCTTGCTAATAAATCCTTACTTGTATCCAACTTGTTTATTAGATTTTTCGATGCTTTATTAAGTGTGTAATTTGTGATTGAAAAAGAAAGGAAAAATAATAAGAAAAATGAGAATAATGGAAAGAAAGAGTAATAAGAAGGCGAGGCATAGAAATAAAATCCATGGGTGTAATAATAATGAAGGTCAAGAATAACAGGTTTGGGATTGAAAGAACGGTCAGGGAATAGATGACAGATAGTTTTAAAGTACATTTATTTTCTTGGTGCTTGTGGTTATGTCTATTTTGAATTTTTTTTAACTCCTTAAAAACCAAATTCTAATTGTTACACTATACCTGTATTTTTTATACCTTTTTTGTCTTATTTCCACATTTTTCATTTTATTAAACTTTCATCTAGCTTTCTTGTCCATATTGAGTGAAAGTTGTCAACTTTTCTCTCTTGAATTTTTCATTATTTAAAAAATAGGTTTTTGTTTTTTGACTTTTTTTCCTTTAGATTTTTTTTAAAAACAGAGTCCTGCAGCTGGGTGCTGTTGGCTCCTGCCTGTAATCCTAGCTACTCAAGAGGCTCCTAGCCAGTTGTGGCTGGAAAGTCATGGAGACTCTTATCTCCAATAAATCACTCAGAAAAAAGCCTGAAGTCACTCTGTGGCTCAAGTGATAGAGTGCTAGCCTGGAGCAAAAAGAAACTCAGGGACAGGCTCTGAGTTCAAGCTCTAAGACAGGCATTAAAAAACAAACAAAACCCAACCAAAACAGGATCTTGCTTTGTAGTTTAGGCTGGCCTCAAACTTGAAATTTTCCCAAGTACTGGATTTAGGTGTGTGTGGCTTAATTTTTTTTTTTAATGGAAGATCTAAAATACATTACAATTCTATAACAATTGACCCACATACTTAACCACTCAGTTTCTTTCACTAATTAGAAACATGTCAGTCTTAATTTTGTCTTATCTCTACCCTCCACCCTATTTTTAAGTAGATGGCATCTTAGTTGTATTAATATATAGCTCAAAATTTTCTCAAATATTTAGGAAAAAACATTTTTGTAAAAATGGTCATAAATAACTGTTAATGACCAGTAATGGCTAATAATTCTTAATATCAAATATGCACAGTAGTAAAATTCTTGCAGTTGTATCTCATATACTACACATGTGTATATATGTATATATGTAAAATTTGCTGGAGTCAGTATCCAAGTAAGATGTATAATTGGAACAAATTTTTAAATTGTTTGCCGTTCAGTTGTTTGACATATCTCTCAAGTCTTTATAAGCTCCCTGCCTACATTTTCTTATTTATTGTGAAAACACTTACATTTTATACATTAAATAAAATATAAATAATGCTTTGCTTCATCAGCATCTGAATCATTGAATTTTGATATGACTTTAAAGTGTTTTCAGTAGTTGTTCTCAGTTTGGCACTACTGAAAAAAATGATGAAAGTAGTGAACTAATTTCTATTTCTAATATATTGTAAATTTAAAAATTACTCATATCTTAATAAAAGGAGCAAATACCTACCTGCTTCTTAAGTAAAACATTTTATCTTCTTACCTAACATTTTAAGCACCTGTTATAAGTTCTAATGACATTCTGAGTGAGTACTGTTTTTATATTCATTTTCAAATGATGAAATGTGCTTGCGTTGATCTGTTTGCTTAGGGTCACACAGTTAGTAAGCAGCAGAACTAGAATTGAAACACTGAATATAGGGTCAGAGTTAAACATTTTGCTATATTACCTCTACCGTTGAGTTACTTAAATGTTAAATTTTGCTTATGGGAGTAAACCAGTTTTGTATGAAATCATTCACTGGCACCCCTCCTAGCAGGGTGGATATGTTCAAATCAGTGGAAATTTCCCCAAAGATTATATTATGGGTTTCGTAATGGGGATGACTAATCTTAAGTAGTTAGAGATGGTACATGATGTAGAAAAGTAAGGGCCAAATCCAAAAATGTGTTTGGGGCTGATGCTGTTTATTATATTGCCAAATTTTCTGTCTTTTGTTACACTTGTTTAAATATCTTTCACTTAGTATGCAATTAAGTTCTTGTCTAGTGGGTTTTTTTTTTTGGGGGGGGGGTCCGGTTGTGGGGCCTGAACTCTGGGCCTGGGCGCTGTCCCTCAACAATTCAGCTCAAGGCTAGCGCTCTACCACTTGAGCCACAGCGCCACTTCCGGCTTTTTTCTTTTTGCTTATGTGGTGCTGAGGAATTGAACCCAGGGCCTCATGCATGCAAGGCAAGCGCTCTACCACTGAGCCACCTTCCCAGCCCCTTGTTTAGTATTGTACATACTGGTTGGGCCATTCAGGTCTTTTGAATGAATTTAAGCTCTGAGTGCTAACAGGAATCAATTCTCTCCCTCTTTTCTTACACACAAACAAACTTTTTATGATTTGATAGTAAGTTGTAGATAAATGAGACCATTCATCTCCAAATACTTTAGTGTATATTTCCCAAGAATAGAATGTTTTATAGTGCAGTTATCAATCTGACATGG